GGAGCAGCAAGAACCTTGGGGTCAGAAGCCCTGGTGTATCGCTTGTGTCTGGCTCTGCCACTTAGTCCAAGACCTGGTAAGCTGGTCACATCCGAACCTTGGCTGTAGGTAGGGGTGCAATCCTTAGCTCCTGGGGCATTTTCTTCCTTTCTTCCAGGGAGGGAAGTGCAGCTGGTCCTGCTGGGCCCTAAGCACCCTCGTTTTGTCTTGTCCCTTGCTGATGGCTGTGCCTCCCCAGGCAGTCTTCCTGCAGAGTCACCAGCTTTTCCACAGCCATCAAAGCAGGGCCTCTCCAGGGATTGCCTCTTAAAGCTGCTTCTCCCAAAGCCACCGGTGGAGGAAGGGAGGAAGGGCTGCGAGCAGGATGCATTTGATGAGGTTGGGGGTTGAGGGAGCTGGATGTGCAGGGCTTAAAGCAGCAGTGCAGATCAACTCCCATACTACCCCCTCGCCTCCCCAACATGGTGGAGCTGCCCCCTCGAGGGGTGTTCTATGGCCTGGCATGTTTTTTCTTTTAGGCCCTGGTAAAGTCTCAGTTGCCTCAATGGACCAGTGGGGAATATAATATGTGAATGATGGAGAGTCGCAGAATAAAATCAGGGAACCAAGCCAGGCTTCCTGGAAAGCTAACCACCCCTTCTCTTCTCAGAGGGGACTTCTGTGGACACTGTGCCTTGCTTGTGTCCTGCTTCTGTAGACCCTGTCCCCTGCTTGTGTCCTGGGGACCAGTGTGGGAGGCTATAGTCTATCTTCAGCTGTGGTTACAATTAGTCAAAGGCTAAATATAGCCATGCTTTCAACCACCCGGCAGGAGCTTTCTGAGGGCCAGGGACAGTAGTCATGAGGCTTATGGAAGATGCTGAGCGGCGTGGGTGAACAGCATGCAGGTGACAGGGGACATGTTGCCTGGTCCTTGAAGCCGGACACCTCTGAGATACTGGGCGGTGGTGAGGGTGCAGTAGCAAATTACAGAAATTGAAGGAAGCAGACTTAGCGGCTCCTTGCCTTTCCTGGGCGCACAAAACTCACCATATGGCTGGCCCATCATGAATATCCACTACCCAGGATGCGCTTGGAGGGCGTCCAGGGATATTTATAGAGAACAAGGAGTTGGTTCGATAAGATGAACTGCCTCAACATGTAAACAGTGGATGCCCCTAGTACATGCTGTGCCCAGAGCTGTGGTGCCTCTTTCTCCCTGCTGCGACCCGCTCACAGGGCCGGCCAGCTGAAAAGAAAGAAGGGTGCTCCTCATTTAAGTAACTGGACTGTATCAATTGTTGGGGAGAGGAGGAAACCTTCAGCAGCCTGTCCCCCTTGCCTCGTCCTTCAGCGCCCTTGGCCAGGAGAATGATTTAGCATCATATCCAAGGGCTTTCAGAGTGGGAGGGACTCCTTTATATTCTGAAAAACCTGTTGTTCTGATCGGGGACCCTAAATGTGCAGGCAAACACAAGAAAATGCCTGAGTAGCAGCTACTATGTTCTGGAAGTTTTCGTGGCAAGAGTACTTGGCTTGGTGTTGAGAGATCTCGGCTTGAATGCTTATTTAGGAGCTGTGTGTCTTTGCGTAAGTCACTTGCCCTCTCTGGGCTCAAGCTTCTGGAAGTGCAAAATGCTGGCACTAAGACCAACTTCCCAGGGACTTGGTGAAACAGGAGGGCGATGGTGCCTGGCACAGAAGAGGGTGCGATCACAGTGCAGCGGTCATGGTGAGACATTCAAAGGCATTTTTCCGCCTTTGCACCCGGAGGCTTCACACTTGCTTAGACTGTGCCTCTGTGGGGTGGCAGCTGTAAGCGATGCTAGTGAGAGGCTGTGCTACGCTAACACCCCTGGGTGGTTGTGAGAGCACGTGCTGCCGCACACCCCCAACACACACCTTGCTTGTGACCTTGGACCACAGAGCCCAGCTGCTTCCCAGAGACAGACTTGCCAACCTCCCCGGTGCCTGGCCTCCGGCCGGGCCCTTCCCTCCAGGGCCTGCTTCCCTAGCTTGTGAGGCAAGTGTTTCTTTCTTTTCCAGGCTTTCAGAGCTGTCGGGCTCCATGGGAAATATCTGAGCTAAAGACGTGCCTTGAGACACCCCGATGTTAGATCCGGGAGGAGCCTTTTCTGAACACATTTTCCCCTTGGCGCTGCTATTTTTAGTGTGCGGCAACATGTTCAAAGGAGACTCACAGTGGCGCCGGCAGGGGCTGATGCTCCGGCTCCTTATTTATCCCAACGGGAGTGTGCCTTGGGGCTGGCCAGCCATTGCGTCTTCTAGGCAGGGAAACGTGCCAGTGTTTCTAAGGGACCACACGGCTACCTGGCTGGCTGGGAGTCCTGAGTGACCGCTGCCGGTGCAGGACGCAGAGGATGGGAACAGAGGACGAGGAGCACTGCGAGGCCGCGCCAGACTCAGACATCGCTATAAAGCTGCTCATGGAATTTTCCATTATTCCAAAAAGGAGATAAAAATTCTGAAACTGGATACTTTCAAACAAAGAAGGCTTGGAACCATGTTATCTTTTCTCATCCTCTTGCCCAGATATTTTCAGGTAGTGAGATAAACAACCTGGATTTACACCTGGATGTGTAGCTCAAACATGTCAAGGGGAGGTTTCTCACTCTCTAAATCTATTGTTGTCCTGCCACAGCTGCTGCAGGTATCATTGGCTTTACTAGAGATGCACAGGAAAGCAAGAGCCACTCTGGGGGTGCTGGCAGGTGGAGGGCTCCTGCTCCCCCTGGGGCCCTCTCACCTAGGACAGTGGCCCCGGCTTCAGGTTGCGTGGACCAATAGGAGGAAAAGAACCTCACGGCCATAAACACAGGCTGGATGAGGGCACCGATACATGGGCTTTCGAATCAGACTGGATTCCAGTCCAAGCTCTGCCTTGACTAACTGTGACCTCGGATGAGTTATTCAACCTCTCTGAGTCTCAGTTTCCTCATCTGTGAACAAGGTTAACTGGAGCGCCTTCCTGTCAGGATTAAGTGAAACAGCACGTGTTTGGCTTCGGTCTCTCTGGGTCCTGTTTGGCGTTTTCACTGAACAAAACTGCCTTTTTGCAGTCAACTTTTTCTTTTTTTGTTTTTACTCAAATATTATCTCAGAAAGACCAGGGCTGGGGTTTGGGAGGCACTGTGGGTTTTTTTCAATTAAATTAATTTAAAGTTTTTAGTTGAAACTGGATGTCTTGGGTGGCCCAGGCCCCCCGGCTGCCCACAGACCCCATCACTCCCCAGTGATCTCACCGGCCTGGCCCATCAAAACTGGCCCTGACAGGCAGGGAGGCTTGGGCCTGATGAAGAGCATCTCCTTCCTCCACATGCACTGACTATGCTGGCTAAGTTGCCCTCTCGCTAAATGACTTAGGACCAGGGAGCTTGGCTTTCATGATGAAGCCAGAGGCCACCGCTGCATCCCAAGGGGACCAGGGAAAGCCCCGTGAGCACCTCACCCCATTTCCCACGGAGCCAGTGAGGAAGTGAGCTCAAACTCCTAATGCCAGGGGGAAACTGAGGCAGAAGACTGCCAAAATGATTGGCTGAATCCTGAAGATAATTCAGGTGTCTTTCCGATGCCCAAGGTTGCTTCCTGCCAACTGGCCCCAAGTCCCAAGGGAGCCCTTGTCTCACAGAGAGCCTGGCTGGGGACAAAGCCCATCCAAACTCTCAGGCTGGCTTCACCAGTGGCGACCCTATCAAAAGGCTGCTGTGAGGAGTGAGGGTTGGGTGAGCCTGGCACACACAGGGGCTCAGTTAAAGGGAGGGTAAACACAAAGTGGCTCTGGGAGCCCCCTGCCCCCGTGAACTCAGTGAGAGGTGGGCGGGTTTGCTGAGCAGCATTTTCATAGACCAACACCAGTCTCTGGGATTTGGACTCTGCTCACAGCCAGCGTCTCAGGCACGTGGCTGGCCTTGACCTATTTATCGTCTATGCTGAGACTGGTGGATGTCCAGAGCCAGGGATGTTGTCTGGATGGTACAACATCCCAGCGGCTCTCACCCAAAGCTGCCTTGCCTCTTCTGTCTGAGCTTCTTTCAGTTGATTTTGCTTTTATGGAAGGCATCATGCCTCTGCTTGGGGCTGTGTTATGTTCCTGGCAGGGCAGTTGCTTCCAGAGGAGGGGGCTCGTGAGACGCTTTATGATCTGACCTCAGTTTATCTCTTGCCACGTCCCTTCCACTCACCTGCTGCCCTCTATGTTCTGGGTGAACCAAACTCCTGCTGTTCTCCACTGGGGCTGTACTCTGTTCAAGCCTGGCCCTTACAGGTACTGCCCCCTTTACTGGAAACCCTCATCCCCCGCTAACCCCATCCCCGTTCAGCTCCAGCACCCCCAGCCTGAATCCATTCTTGCTCCTTTTGCGACCACTATCCCAACTTCCCCCAGGGAACCACCTTCTCTACTCTCAGTCTGTGAGGTTTTGTGGGTTTGATACCTCCCCTTCCTGGTTTCTGAGAAGGCTTGGACAATCCACCAATAAGAATCAGCCCTGAGACTTTGGCTGGAAGGAGTTGCTCTCTTTCCACTGGGGCTGCTCAGGTAAAGCTGCTGGTGGCCATGTTTACCTCCACCTGGGGAAGCCTGGCTGGGGCTGTAGCCAAATCAGAGGAAATAAGAGCTGGGGAGAGATAGATTGTGAACAAGACTTTTGAGCCCTGGATCCAGCCATGCCTGAAACCCTTAGTTACATTCACCAGTAAATCCCCCTTTTTGCTTAAATCACTTTGACTCGGGTTTCTGTCACTTGCAACCAAAAGGGACCTAACTGATACATATCCCTTCATCTGGTTAGCTCAGTTGCATGTTTGGGACTCAGCTCAATAATCACACCTCTTCCCCTCCACCCTGAAGCCAGATGACACCTCAGCATCTCCATGTCCCCATTTGCCTAGTGAAAGGTGCTGAATGCTGTGGACAGAGCCAGAACACGGGCTTCCCTCCAGGGCCGCTGTTTCCACCTCCTTACCAGCCCCCTTTCCCTGGTTTGCAAAAAAACTCTCACCTCTGTCTTATTCCGAGAGAGCACGCTGGAATCGATGGGGCCCAGGGACATGTTTGGCAGGATGAGGTTGAGCACTTTCGCAGCAAGAACCTAGCCGGAAGGGAAGACAGGAGCTATGAGTATGAGTAGAATCCACACCCGGCTTTCCCCAAGTGACAGTTTACAGTAAATTAAGGAAAATGACACCCAAACTTAACATCAGCCAGGTTTGTTCCAAAGACTGGGTGCTCAAGACGGAACCCCAAGGCATTCTCTATCCTGACTCAGACAGGCACTCGCAGCACTGGCCCCTGTCCACCACGGGTGAGCGGGAGAGCAGGCCTCGGGGCTGGCAGCCGCGATGTCCTGGCTATTTCTGCCTGCTCTGGATTCTGCATGGCTGTCTTCCCTGCAATCACTCATGGCTGCAATTTTAAATTATTTGTAGGAGCTGCCTAGGCAGGCTCTGGGAACACTAAAAATACACGGCTGGAGCAGAACCTCCCGGGTCACCTGGGAGTGAGGCAGGACAGCAAGGAGGGGCCTGAAAAGCAGCCTGCTCTGATCAGAGTTAGTCTGTCCATCGTTTCGGTTTCTCTTGGAGGGAAATAAAAATAGCCACCAGCCTGACTAGAAGGCAGTGCGCCAGAGGGAAGGAGGCCTGGATCGGATCCCGGCTGTGTTGCCTGGTGGACTTGGGCAAGGATCTCAACATCACTGAGCCTTTCCTTACTGCAAAATGGGGACGACACCCCCAGAGGACCACTGGGGAGGCTAAGCTACGCCACCGGTGCAAAAGTACCTGACGTGCAGTAGGTGCTTACTTCATGTTCACTGAAGCCAGGCCTGATTCGGGTGCAAGCCCCCCCTTGCCTGCCTTTCTCTCCAGCTCATGTGTTACCAGGAAAAGCGAGACATGGACCTCACACCCTGCTCAGAGAGAGGCTGTTTGCATTTCTGAAATGTGCACAGACACTGGGGGATGAGAGATGCTATTTCAAAAGTGAGCTGTGAAATGCTGAAATTAGAATCACATAGAAGGTGGTAGCAGAGACTCTCGGTACATGTCAAGGGTGCATCACGCAGCTGGTAGATGGCCCCACGGTCCCCGACGGGGGCCAGAGGGAAGGCACTCACATGTTACTGAGAAGCCATGTATTGGAGTGTGGGGCACTGTATAAGGTGTTCAGTTTCGAATCCCTACAGCCTCCTGTGAGGTGGGGGTTTATCTTCCTGTAACAGATGAGGAGCTGAGGGCTCAACAGGAGGGGAGGGAGAGGGTCTGGGCAGAGGCCACGCTGCCCTCTATGCCACGCTGCTTTTCTTTCTTTGTTCTCTCTCTGACTGTAACTGAGGGCGCGCACCACTCCCATGCATGATCACGGATACTCTCCATCGGGACACTATTGACCCAGAGCTGCAAAACCCCTCCCTTCCTAGGCCTGCACAGGATGTGGCCTCACATCATGGGTGTTTCTCAGACCACCAGGGATCAGGCAAGAAGAAAACAGGGTCTTGTGAGCAAAGGAGCACACAGAGAGGAGCCTGTCCTCTGGTTTACATAGTCATCTATGTGATAATCATCAGCAGTTCTTTCTTAGTCCAAGATGGCTCCCTGCCTCTAAGAATCTCACGCCCAACCCTGGTGTCCAGGCGAGGAAACCTCATCTACATCACCTCACTGCCACCGATGCACCAGGTCCTAGGCCAAGGCCGGAGCCTGACTCTGAGGGCCTGACAGTCTAGTGTAGACACAGCAGGAGTCAGCCCACATAATCTGGAGCCTCCTAGGATGCGATGGACACGTTGGGTAGGCTCAAGAGTCGAAGTGGTATGTGGGCCAGTGGGACAGGCTAGCCCAGGATAGGAGGGTTTGGAATTCTAGGAACTCTAAGCAAGGAGTAGGGTGTTTCAAACACGGATGAAATGTCTGTGGACTCTAGGAATTGGAAGCTCCTCTGAGAATTGGGATCTGTGCTTTCAAAAGCTGAAAAAAACAAACGGAGTCTATAGTCCATAAGTAGTGTGCTGTCTGTATGCGGAGAGGCCGTGGCTGCTGTTCCGCTGCTGCCCACCTGTTGGCCTTCACCTGGCTCCAAGGGGCTATGGAGAGGGGACTTAGGACAATAATAACAATATTAATAGTGATAATTCATAATAGGACTTGAGCAATAATAGCCCAAGGGTAACATTATTAGGGAAAACATCTTAACATGTATTCCGAAGTTATGTAGAGCTGATTTCTAGACGTTCTGCTGTTTTCAGGGCCTCTTGCCACTGCTCCCTCCCTGAATTGAGGCAGGGCTGGCTGACAGTGGGCCTTTGTGTGCCCCACCCCACTTGGGACCACAGCAAGGCCACATGTGATAGGAAGTGTGCAGACTCTAGCCTCCGGACCCGGGCGTGCCATCTGCCTGCCTGCCACCTGCCCACCACAACCTTCTTGAGGACAAGCCCATGACCAGATTAGATGTCCCTGAGCTGGGAGGAGGCTCAGCAACACAACAGCTCAGCACCCGCCCAGAACCAAGAACACGAGAGACACCATGCAGAGCCCATCCTCTTCACTGAGGCAGTCCACCACCAGATTTCTCTTTCGCTGACAAGTGATTTTGGAAACCTGCCACCTGATTCCGCATGGACTCAGGCACCAGACACTGGTCATCTTCACAACTGATCATTTGTGAAGAGACAGACTTACCTACATCTTCGAATCTACATTCCTGCCACTGGAATCTTCTGAAACACAATACTTAGTACCAGAAAGAGCTGAGGCCTCTGCCCTCCAGGGCTACCAGGAAGATGCTGACCACTTAGGTTGTCAGCTTAGCTAGGACCAGAAAAGGCAGTGCCATGGCCCAACCCAGCTGGACTCTGGTTTCTGAGAGGGGTTGGGGGTTTGAGAGTCACGGACGAATCCACCTCCAGGAGAGAATGACAGAGAGACTCATCCTGTCCTCTCCCATGTCAGCACACTTTCCTTTTTCCAGGGGAACATTCTGCAGCTAAAGGAAGCTTTTAAGAAAAGAGCCTCCCAGGAAAAATAAAAGAGGAGAGCCACTTTCACAGAAGCATTTCTTCAGACAATGAATAATGCAAGCACTTGGTCCCTGGGGGGAACTAGAAAGTGAACCTAGCTGACTGCCTCACCTTCCCCTCCAGGTGCATTACACAAGACCTACTCCCAAAAGCACAGATAGGAGGGGAAATGGCAAGAATGCATGGGCTGAGGACTGGAGGAAAGCAGTGGACCCCTGGGCATGCCCAGCTGCATACTTCCTGCCCAAAGGAGCCGGAGCTGGTGGGCACCGGGCAGGTGAATGCATGCAACAGCACAGGCCGTCATAACACAACTCCAATAGCCAACCGTGTGTCATAGCAACAAGAGTGCTGTTCGCTTCCGCGTCCCTCCAGGAACACGGTGTGTGGGTGTGACAGTATTGTTCTGTATCTCCATGGCTGGAGGTTGGCACTAAGTGTGTCACCTCGGGCGCAGGAGGGCAGCAGGTGTGTAAGGCTGCTGAAGCCCTGAGTGTGTAGACAGGGAAGAGGAGAGCCCCAAGGCAGACGTGCCACTCAAGGGACAGGTGGAGGAAGAAGAAGCCATGAAGGATATTTCCGGAGTCCAGGGATTCCTTTGAAATGACTTTTGGCTTCCTGCCTTCCCAGACAGCACTTGGTTTTTACGCTTCTGCTCCTTGACTCCAGCCAACCTATTGGTCGATGGGCACACCCTGCCATGCCCCGACCCCTGCTTGGTCTTCTGGGGATCCCTGCTCAGAGCATGGTCCTCAGACAAGCAACAGCACTGGGCCACTGTGGGACCTGCTGCCTCAGGCAACAAGACCCCAGGCCTTCATGTAAGCTGGAGGGGCTGGGCGCCCTGTGTGAAGTTAGATTGCCTCTTCCCAGTCCCCCAGAGATGGTCTGTTGATTGGCCTTAGGTGGTGCCCTGGCGCCAGGGTTTGTTAATGCTCCCCGGGTGGCTCCAGAGCCAGCCAGGCTTGAGAAGCACTGGTGAGTGTGCAGGGGAAGTGTTCCCAGTACGCCAGCCAACGCCGGGCGTGCGGAGGTCTCCTCGAGGTCTCTTTTTTAAGGAGCCTTTCTAAACCTGCATGGTAAGTTCCAAACCAAATTTCTAACAGCACTCAATTTGGCCGAGGCCAGTCTTTTGATGACAGTAACGTCATGGTCTAAAAAATTATGAAAGGCTCAGCCTCTTCCCCACAAAAGACGCAAGACAGAGAAGAGAGCCATCACCAGGGGCAGGGCATGCCCAGCAACTGCACAAAATGTGCCTCCCCTTGCTGCTCTTTGTGGCTTATTTAGCCCATGAGCCAGGCACTGAGTGAGGAGGAGAGGGTCAAGTGGCAAAGAAAGAGCTGAGCAGAGTGAGGGCCCCGGCACCTATTCATAAAGAAGGAGAAGGATCCCATTGGTGGTGGGGCGGAGCGTGCAGCTCACCAATATAGAATTTGGAATCCAAGCTACTACCATTCTTGATCCCCTGTCAGCCACCTCGAACAAGCTCATCGAAGAATCCTGTGGGAGTGTGGAGAGAAACCCCAGCCCAGCTCAGGAGAGATGCCCTGCCAGGCCCCTCAAGGGAAAACTCCCTCAGCACAGCCAGGAGCCTTGGAGCCCGAGGGAGCCGGGGGCCAGGACACAGCCATGAACGCAGGTCCCTGGGCCAGCCCAAGAAGTGGCTGCACTAGGAGGGGGAGAAATCAGACTCAGAGACTTTGGAGCCAGGCGCATGTGGATTCAAATCCTCGAGAAATATATGATCCTCAGTTTCTTCATCTATGAAATGGGGAATGATAAGACCAAGTTCTCAACCTATGGAGTACACCCCTTCTCCCTTTCTGTGGCCTGAGGAGGAGGTCCATGAACATCTGCTGGTGGACTGAATGGGCAAACCAATGAAAATGTTACTCAGAGCAGAGACTTTAGGAAAAGCGTGTGATCCACAGCTCTGCAAAAATGAAGCACTCACAGCTAGAACCCTATATTATTTCACCCACCAAAGAGGCCACACCTCCCACCAATGAACTCAAGAGGCTCAAGTGTGGCATAAAGCCTTGACAATCTCAGGCATTCCTTCTGTGAAC